TAATTCTTTAGGTAGTTTTTTAAAATTCTTTAGTTCATTATTTAATTCTTTAGTTTTTTACTTAGTTACTTTTAGTTAGTTAGTCATGTATTTACTTATTTCTTTCATTTATTTATTTGTTTCTTTGTTTATTTTGTATATTGAAGAGATATTATTTTTATAAAATTAAAAAAAAAAAACGAAAACTAAAAAAAAACAAGAAAAAAGGAATTTTGGCAAAAAAAACCCTTTTTTATGTCACCAAATACTCTGATATCTTTATGGATTTCATGTCTCTGGGTCATCTTTAATGTTAGGAATATATGACCCCAAAATACTTTTTCCACAAAACCAAATCATGAGCTGGTGCGACCAATGAAGAAAGTTGGCAGCACCAGTGCTACCAGAGGAAAAGTTCATCTGGAGCCCTGCTACATGTGTTTTACATTGAGGTAAAGGCATGCACAGTAGCTGTACATAGAATAAATAACAATCAAATGCAGAGACAATTATTTAACAATATGTTAAAGAGTCGTTACATTTATACAGCCATACAATTACAACTGGCCCTGTGAGGGCAAACATAATGCTTATGTGGCCCGGGATGAAAATGAGTTTCACACCCCTGCTCTACACAAATGGTGTTATCCGTTTTTGCAAACGAGTTCTTGAATTACGGGTGTATTGTCATGAAATTTGGCACAAATATTATTGTCTCCATAAACTGTAACAACTTAGCAAACCATTAACTTCTTATTTAGGCTGCAATCAGCTCAAAATGTTTGTTTTTTTCATTTCAATGATGGCCAAACACTTGAAATTGTTCCCATAAGCCTCTGCCATTCGTGTTTTCTAATTAGCTGAGGGTGCAAAAATGCTAAATTAAAATAGTGATCATTATGCTTGCCAAAAATTAGCTTTGCCATTGAGAGCATTTCTGAAACTTCCCAGAGCAGGTATTGGTGTAGCGCTGAAGGTTTTTAGCGACACACCGGCCTGTTCATTCTGCATGAGATGAACGACACAAAAGGTTTTCGTGAAAATCAAATTTAAAAACCAACAATAAAATGATGGCACAAACAACATTGCACATCAATTTAGCAAAAGTGTGATGAAATATAATGTAGCTATAGGACAAAGGGAGAGAGCACATGTAATATACAGTATTGGTGACTTGACTTCATCGCTCCTCCACCACATCCAAACCACAAACCCCCTGTCCAAACATTTCCTCAAAATACCAGAAACTGCAGAAATTAATTACCTTTAATTGTTTTCTGGCAAACATTAGTAGCCACCTGAGACTTTGTTTTCCTGCATTTCCAAAAACAGCCCCTCCATTAAAACGTTAGCAGAATGGTCCCTCAGTGTGACTATCTGTCAGTGCTTTGTTCCGATCCGGCGCGTTCGCTGCAACTCCAGCGATTACAGCGCTGAGCTGGCGAAAAGTCCAGGGCTCTAATCAGAACCCGGAGCGGGGCGGCAGAACCGCAGCGCAGCAGGTTACCAGGCCTCAGCCGGCTCACGGCGACAGTCAGGAGAACCTTCTGCTGCTTTCGGTTAATCACGTTGGGATCCCCGATGCCATGAGGTGGCTGGAGATGAGAAGTCGACAGAATGGAAAATAAAGATGAATAGATTGTTCACGCTGACGCTCTGAGGTTGTTCAATACATTTATCAAGGAGCCAGAACCCCAGAGAGCAGACTATTTCTCTCTGTCTATTCGATTTTGTTCTTTGGAGCGTAAAAATAGCAACAAAAGGCTTTTCTGGACAGTTACAGCATACTTTTGATAGACGAAGACGCAAAGAGTGTGACTAAGGACTTCTGCACTGCTATAACAAATGATAAACTGACATAAGTTTCCTGATTAGCATTTTAGTAACATCTGATGATGTGATTTATTGCAAATTGGAAAGCATCGTGATGCAAACTGTTGTGTTTTTGCAGTTGAAGGAAAGATGAACGTGGGTTTGTTGATAACTGACTTTACATCGAACTTTTGTTAACAAAAACTGGATTTACTGCAGCACCATACATTCAAGTGCATAATGTGCCTACAAGAAGGCATGAGCTGCACAGTGAGGTTGGACCATTTGTCGTGCTTTCCCACTAGATGGCATCGTTTGCTGTTTAGTAGAATTATCATCATGCAGATTCAGTCCAAGTGCTGCACCCCATGAGATTATTTAATGCTTCAGAGTGAACATATCCTCATGTTTGCTTTAACTGGGGTTTTATATTTCAAATTTATAGATGAATTTCTATAAATCTGAGGAGAGACTTTGTCTTTTTTTTTGCTATATTAGAGTGTAGATTATAAGAATATCATATTAACATTATTCAAACCAGTGGATCTGAACCTTCCTGGCTCGTGGATCTTAAAAACCAATAAAAGCTGAGAGCATTTCAGCCAATTAGAGCATATTTCTACTTGTCAATATGTGCAATTTGAAGGATTTTTAGAGCTTTTTTTTTAACATTAACAGAAAAAAAGGGGAAACATAATGTTGCGTAACCCCTCCGGTTGTTCTTCCTCGGTTGGGGACTATTGATTCACATGATGCAACGTTGCACGCGGGGTTAGTGAAGGGTTAAAAGTGCCGACTCTGCCCGAAGCTCCACCTCCTTTGGGTGACTCATCAAAACAGGAACGAGGAAGTGCTCACAGCCAGGCACGTAGATCTGTCACAACACTGGAAGAGTCGGGTATGTTTGGCTTTCCTTACATAAAACACTCATTTATGTGCATGTAGAGGCTTTAAAGGGTTCAGCTGTTTCCCCAGAGTGAAGTAAACAGACCACAATACAGCTGATAATGGATATTCAAGAAGAAAAAAAGAAAAGAGTGTTTGCTCAACCTTTGCCCTACTTTCAGTTTCCAGAGAAAAAGCAGCAGCTGATTGTCAGGATGGCAGGCAGGCGCTCTCTCCCCGAGGTGGACCTCACCTGTCCCGTCTGCTGCGACATCTTCAGGGACCCGGTGGTCCTCAAGTGCACCCACAGCTTCTGTGCACCCTGTCTGCAGCAGTACTGGAGTCGCCACCAACGAAGCCGCGACTGCCCCCTGTGCAGGACCCAGAGCGTGGACGATCCGGTGTCCAGCCTCACCCTGAAGAACCTGTGCGAGTCCTACCTGCTTGAGCACGAGGGTCCGGAGGAAGCGGAATCATCATCATCAGAGGCAGCGGGGGAGCTGTACTGTGATCCGGGGGAGATGTGCCTCGTTCACGGGGAGAAGCTGAAGCTTTTCTGCCGGGCGGAAGAGGAGCCCATCTGTGTGGTTTGCCACACGTCGAGGAAACACAAGCAGCACGACTGCTGCCCCGTGAGCGAGGCAGTCGTGGATGTGAAGGTAAACTCACATGGAATAATGATGCGTTCCTGCTCGGGGCTGCTTTTCTAAGCTCCCTGAGTAGCTTTTATGAGATATTATATTCAAGACTGGTACAGGCCCGAAGTTAGATTCAACTCTAGATTCCACAAACCTTCTAATTAGTTTTTCTTTTAATGATTTACTCAGGAGAAAATGAGGTCCGCCCTCAGCTCACTGAAGGAGAAGAGGGATGCTTTTGACAAAATGAAGAAGAACTACGAGGACACTGTGGAACACATTCAGGTGCAGGAACATTTTGAAACACAACCTTGTACGACTGTATATTTTTGCACATGTTGACCTTTTGCACCATAAATATTAATGAATATAACTATTTCTGTACATAGCCTTTTTGCACTGTTCCATATATACTCATTTATAGTCTGTTTAGTCTACATCAGTATAAGTAGATGTATTCAGCGATCTGACAATTAATTGCAGTCAATTTTGTCTCTATACCACCAATTAACATGTGTCATCTCATCGCACACATAGTAAAGTGAAGACTTGAGAATCCAACAAATCCAAAGTTTCCTTTCAGGTCCAGGCTCGATACGTGGAAAGACGGACCCACGAGGAGTTCGAAAAACTTCACAACTTCCTCCACGCCGAAGAGGAAGCCAAGATGGAAGCGCTGAAGAGGGAGGAAAAGCAGAAAAGTGACGAGATGAAGCAGAAGATTGAAGAAATGGAGAGAAAGATATCGTCTGTGTCCGAATCCATGAGAGTGTTGGAGGAGGAGATGGCTTTGGAAGGCATCTCAGTCCTTCATGTAAGTTTGGAAATGCTTGAAATGTGAATAAATGCATAGATGCTTGCTTATGTTGAGTGAAGTAAGTTTTCTTTTCTTTTTTTCCAGAATTGCAAGAATACACTGGCGAGGTAAAATGATTAAATTATACTTTAAACTTTTCTTTCTCATCTTTTCTCTGCTTTCACACACGATGCTTCTTTTTCTGCAGAGCTAATCGTCCCATTGAAGATCCAGTAATGGCTCCAGGAGCTCTCATCGATGTGGCCAAATACTTTGGCCCGTCAATGTTCCGTGTTTTGAAGGAGATGCATGAAATCACCAAATACAGTGAGTTCACATTTTTTTACTTTGAAACTTCCAGCTGCAGTTTTAGCTCCTTGAGGATTCCCGAGGTGGACAAAAGGTTGAGAATCTCAAAGCGACCACAGCTGACAATCTGCCATGTTCTTCTTCAGCCCCGGTCACCCTGGACCCCAACACCGCCGCCCCGTGGCTCGTCCTGTCGGATGACCTCACCAGCGTCCGTGACAGCGAGGAGAAGCAGAAGCTGCCCGACAACCCGGAGAGGTTCGACCCCGACACCGCCGTGCTGGGCAGGGAGGGCTTCAGCTCAGGAAAGCACGCCTGGGACGTGCACGTGGGGGAGAACACGGCGTGGGTCGTCGGCGTGGCCAAAGAATCCGTCCAGAGGAAGAAGAAAGTGTCTTCGGTGCTGAACAACGGCTACCTGTGCGTGTACTATTACCACAACATGTACTTCGCAGGCACCTCCCCTCTGACACGACTGGGCCTGAAGAAGAGCCCGCAGAGGATCAGAGTGCTGCTGGACTGTGACAAGGGCAGAGTGTCTTTCTATGACCCGCAGAACGACACGAACATCTACACCTTCAAACACGCCATCACTGAGAGAGTGCTGCCCTACTTCTGGGTGGGCTGTCAGAAGTGTCCTTTGACAGTTGAACCAGTCAAAGTTTGCCTGAAAGCTGTTGAGCATTGCTGAAGCACAAAACTAACAGAAACTTTCTTTAAAAAAAAAAAAGAAAATCACTTTTCTGCACTTTCTTTCCATTCATTGCAGCGTCCTGACTTTTTTCAATTTAAAACACACTGAATACTATTTTAACCATAAAATTCAGTGATTGGTTATTGTAAGTAGATTTCTGTGTTTCTTGCACTATTTGTTTTGGGATTATTCTCAAAATTGCTGACGTAAAAGACAATGTAAGCTTATGTTTTGGGGTGTAAAAAGGTACCAGAGAAATGTGTTGAAGCTTGAAAGCTGATTATGCATGTGAAAATCGTCCTTCCTGTTTTTGGAGCTCATGTTGATCCATATTAACGAAACAAAACTGTGCAATTACTGCTGCTGTTTGACACTACTAATTTACTAATAAACTGTTTACAAGTGCCACAAGTTTCCCTTGATAATGTGTGACCTTCCAGCTCTTTAAACGATAGATCTTTTATGTTTGGTCCAGAATAAATAAATTAACAGTTGTGGTGATGTGAACAAGGTTCACTCATTTACAGGGTTTTGAGTTCAGATTACAGTCAAAAGAATTAAAGATTGTGTTTTTGTTTGCATCTTTAAAATATTGCTTTTTTTTTTTGATGATACTGCATATTTGAGTAGGTCACTCCTCTTAGGTTGTCAGGTTTAGTTCACAGGTCATGAGTAATATTTGTTTTTTTTAATGATGATTAAGGAATAATAGTTTGTTTCTCACTTATTTACACTAAAAGATGTCAGTAGACCATCAGGAGTCAGGCCTTCTCTTGTATTACAAGAGGAAAGTCATCTGTGAGGTCTTTCTTTTACAAGTTTACTCGACTGATTTAAGTTTTAAAGTTCAGACACTACAACATTATATCCTGTACAAGTCAGTGGTAGGCCTCCTACCTGAATCAAACCACCTCTTAACGCCGTCATTATGACACCACGGCTATAGAAACCATCAGTATGATGCAGACAGGCAGTTACATCACAGACAGGTATCTCATGTCACGAGAATGAATGCCATCACTAAAGCAAGAAACCCAATTAAAACAATTCAACAAGTCTCCATTAACTGCACCACATACATCATGTCTAACAGGAGCATCAACATTAACCCACTAAAATGACAAATATATATTTTACTCACAAAAACTTGTGATTATTTGAACACAAAATCTCTCTCAAGATCTCTGGCCATCCAATCAGAGGACGTCAAAGTGCCGACGTTATCGTAGGCCAGCTGGCAGGCCCTGGGACCACCGACTCTAAATGTGGTTGGTTAAAGCAGCAGTTTCATTGCAATGCATTTTGATCTACCTGCACCTGCACTTTGATTCCGAAGGCTTCAGGGCAGATTTCTTTGACCCTAGCAACACATGATGGCTGAAATGTGATTGGATAGAAGCTTTAATACAAACATACACTGCTGGAAGCACCGCAGCCCAGAAACACAATGAAATGAAGAGAATAGACTATTGGGAATAATGTAAAAACATTAATGGGATGTCAGTGATTCTGATAGAGTTTAGGCCAGCAGAGAAGGCAACTTGTGCCCACCACTGACACAAGCTGACCCGACTAACTGCAGTAAATGCTGGATATGAAACGTGCACTTTATTTGCTCCAAACTCCTAAATGTGCCTTCTTCTATTTTATTTTATTTTTTATTTTTTTAGAATAAGATGCAATGCTTCAATTTTGAATAAATTAAAAAGTATTTAATTAAACTGCCTTGGAGTTTATATTGGTTAACTAAAATAATCAGATTCACCATGCTTATGGGTTTCTAATTATGGAGTGCTTATTGTAAAGCACCTTGTAACCCCAGTTATTGTTATTTTATAGCTAATATACTGACATGTATTCTTGCAGAGGAATGTCTGTGTTTCCATTTAAAAAAAAAAATAATAATAATAATAACTTATTAAATTATGGTGGACTGTCTTTTAATTAGGCAATTTAAATTACAAATTCAGAATATTCAGGTGTATGTTTGCAACTGCTTAGAAATGACACTATCGTTCTTTTTAAATGCTATTATATTTAAGTCATTGTTGTGCTTTATTGTGTGAACACCTGGAGGTCCATACCTGTCCTCGCGCTGCACGGAGCAGCTCCGCGCGACCAATTTAACCTCCTGCTCGTTAGCGGCTGTTTTTGCTGCAATACATCGAACTGCAGCTAAATTCTAAAGCGAAAACTTCGGAGAAGTTCGGAAAAGGTAAATAAGTTGATTAGTTTGTTGTTTTTTCTGCCCACGTTACGAGCCTCAGAGCGACTGATGGTAAGTTAATTACTGACGCGTCAACGAGCTGAGTGGTTGATTAACAGCTCATTAGCGAGCAGCAGGGCTAGTTGAAGCTAACAGCTAAAGGTAGGATGTGTGTGTGTGTTGGAGAGTTAAAAAGGTGTTTGTAGAAGCTGGCTTATGTTTACACACAGTGTGACTTCCACACAGAGGGCATCAATGCAGCTGCCAAAATCAAAGGATATTGTGTTATAGATTAGCTTCCCTTCTGAGGTAACTTCATTTAGTTTGATCTTCACCGTCAACCTCAAACTTTTCAATTAAATTGCATCCTGCCTTGAGCTTCCTCCTGGAAAAGATTGGACTAACTTTATTGTTCAAAGTGCTTCTGCACAGGAAGTCCAAGATGGCTGACCTTTCCTGCAGCGGTGGAGTGAAGAGAAAGTTGGCAGCAGGTGTTTCAGCTGCACAGCCCAGATCTTCCAAAGTCACCTTCCTGAGCCACTCGTTCCTCTTCGTGGAAATCCCTGCCGACGCCGACACCAGCCTCCCGGTGTGGGAGGCCCTGAGGTCCAGGCAGGTGGACATGAGCTGGACGGTCAACCCTTACAGCATCAGCATTCACGTGACGCCTGTGACGTCCAAGCAAGGGAACGCGTCGGCTTCCAGCATAAATGAGACCACGTCCAGCTCCACGTTCTCTCCCGGCGTCCAGTATGTCCCCCAGCAACACAATGTGCTGCTCCCCTTCTCCCAGAACAGCTCCTTGCTTCCATGCCCCTTTAGTCACCACCATGAAACACCTGCAGACCCTAATCCAGCCACCGCCATCGTCGCCCAGACCCAGCCCGACCATCAGTCCAGCACGCCTACCAAGAACGAGGTCCCGAGCGCCATCCTGACACCAACATGTTCCCCCACCGTGCTGCAGACCCCGTCCACAGCGCCCGTCCCCGTGGCGTTCCACACAAAGATTTCCCCCGACGTCGAGATCTGCGACAGCTTCCTCTTGGGCATTTGTCAGGCGGGGACAAGGTGTAAGATGCACCACACTCGCTACCCGTTTCACTGGCAGCTGTGGAGCGTCGTCACCCACCAGTGGGTCGATGTTTCCCCTCGCTCTCAGGTCTTACTGGAAAGGCTGTACTGCAATGTCAATATTGAGACCGTTGTTCTCAAAGAAGGGTGAGAGCTTTTCTGCCATCCATCTGCTTTGTGGTTTTTCTTGCCGTTATTGAAAGAGTTGAAAATAAGAAGATGGCCTCTCCAATCCTTTAGGCACGTCTGCTACAATCTGGACTTTGACTCGATGGAGTTGGATGGTCCCTATAAATACGACAGCATTAGACGACTGACAAACGCTGACAGTCCGGCCAGGAACCCTTACTATCCCAGCAAGTGGAAAATCTACTGGTGGAACAACCTCGGCTGGGAAGAGTACAAATTGGTTAATTTTTTGTTCTACTTTTATATCAAACAGCTTTTTACTTCCTGCAAAGTAGCAGCCAACACCGTTTTCAGCATCTTCTTGTTCATTTCTTCATAGCATCTGTCCACCTTGCTGCTAAACATGATGAGCGAAAAGGAGCCCGAGTGTTTCTTCCACATCGGCTCAGAGAGGTACAAGGTGGACTTCACCGCTATGCTCCAGACCAACATCAGGACGGGGTTCCAGAGAGACGTTCGCTACAGACCCGTCTACCGATCGCCTGATCACATGCAGCCGCACCTGCAGTTAGTATACAGCGTCTTTCTTCTGTCTTTTTAGAGGTGATGATGAAACAAACTCAGAAGTTGACTGTGGGGCAGTTATCTTCTCCAGAATCCTCAAAGATGTTGACCTTAAAAAATGTTCAGAGTGAGACGTTTTTCTTTTTTTTCTGTGTGACAAAGTTTATATCTTTAAAATTCTATGCATGAAAATGGACAAACAAAACTTTAAAACTCTGTCGGATCATTTAAAAATAGTCCCTTACCTCTTTTTTGTCACATTAATGCACCTCCCTCCTCTTCGTCTTCACTCTCAACAACAAGAACAGGAATCCAGTCCGACTCCACCCAACCCATTCGCGATCCTCCTGATGCGAACTTCAACGTGGATCCTCTGGAGGAGTTCAGCTCCTGGTACCCTCCAGTGTGGCGTCAGGCCTCGGAGCAGGATTGCAGCATCGTAGACGTTCCGGCCGGCACGCGGGCCTACAAGAGCATCCAAAACCTCTTCTACGAGAGCATGTCTGAGACGGCGGTGGACGTTATCGGCATCCAGCAGGTCCAGAACGTGCTCCATTGGGACAAGTACCAAAGGTCCTGCTGGTTCATCTGAACACTAGTGCTTGTTTCTTGTTTTAACCAACGCCACTAATTTGCACTTATATCTGCATTCCAGGCAGAAGGCACACATGCAGAAGCATCACACCAACTCTGAGGAACCTCTGGAGAGACACCTCTTCCATGGGACAACCAGCGAGGCCTCAGAGGGCATCTGCTACAACAACTTCGACCCTCGAATGGCCGGGGTCAACGGGACTGCCTACGGTTTTGGCTCCTACTTCGCGACCACAGCTGTCTTGGCCAACCCATATTCAAACACAGAGGAGGCAGATGAAGTCCAACACATGTTCTTGGCCAAAGTCCTGGTGGGGAAGGTGACTCTGGGCAGCAGCAGCTACCACCGGCCGCCGCCGTGCAGCTCCAAGACAAAGCAGTACCACCTCTACGACGCCTGTGTTGACAAATGGCACGATCCCACCATGTTTGTAGTTTTTGACAGCTGCCAGTGCTACCCATACTACCTCATCAAGTACAAAGACCTGCCCAGAGAGATTTATATTTAACGAGATAAAGTTCACAGGCAAGCAACCCGTTCATTGTTCAGACAGGAATAACAATGCCTTTTATGTTTCAAAATGTCTTTTTATTTTGGTTATTTAAAGATTTTACATCAATGGAAATAAGTACTTTTCTTTTCCTCAAAGATGTTCGCAATCAAATTGACTTCGGTCACTTTTATGAAAATAAACTGTTCACTGAATACATTCATCCCTCAGAATAGTAAAATAACAGACAGCTTTGATCATCTGTCGTCATGGTTTGTATTTTCATCTGTTGAAATGCTGACGGTTACCTGATTGTATGTTCCTGGAATGTGTTTCTCCAAAATCTCTTGTTGTAAAAGCATATACAGTATATTTCAAAATATTTTCTATAAATTCTTTCTTTAAAACTTGATTGCACGTGTTTCTTTTTTAAAATCAGTACAAAATGAAAACTGGGATTCAAGAAACTGCTGGCAAACAGCTGTTTTTTTAACTATTTGTAACAAGAACATCTTTAAACAAACTGAGTAGTTTGTGTGTAGAAGAGGACTTCAGCAGATCTAAGGTTCTGATAGGACATTTTGAGCACTAAAGAACAACCTCATATAGCAGTAAAAGTCCATCCTTGATCTGTATTAAAGTAACTGCTGGCTCTGTCGCAATAGTGAAAATATGAGAAAGATGTTCTTTGTTGTGTTTTCTGTCACAAACATACACTACACTGAATGGACAACATATTAGGGACAGTTTTTAAAGACAAAAATCTACTTACAGGACTCTATCCCTTATTGATTAATCATTCCCTTATAAATAAAACTAATAAAAAGGGAGGAATTGGAGGTAATTTTGCAAAAACGTGAGTAGTACAAAATTGGCTCTAACTTCATCTGAGCTCATTAATGTCACATTTTCAATACTCCTTGTAGATGGATTTTTTCCCCTATAAAAACATAAAAATCCTGGATGACTTTTGTATCTGTGTATCCAAGAAAATATCAGCTCTGTGTCGAATATGAACACTCAATCATCTTGAAGTCTTGTAGTGACATTTCATATTTAATGTTGTTTAAAGACTGCCAGAGGAGCTCAAATAATAAGGCATTGTCTTGTATTTTTATATACAGCATGTATATTCTTTCTTTTTAAAATGTGCAATTCTGCTTGTATGTTTTCTTTGTGACGATAATTGAAGTTGCTAAGACGAAGCAAAAAAAAAAAGAAAATCACAGTCACATGATAAAAATTACACTTATTCACAAAAAAACACAAAAGCCGTAAGAAGACAGGCTGAATAATGCAGCTTCCACACAAGGAACAAAGAAACATGACAACAAGAAAGAATAATGTCAAAATTAGTAGATGGCAGGTTAAACCATACAGCAACGTTTTAACATGTAAACAAGGTTAAAAGTAAAAAAAATAGTCACACTAGCGTAGAGACTGTGATGCCCTTAACAGAACAGACTGATGCATGGGTTAAAAAAAAGCACTTCTCTGTACTTTTAATTCTAACATTTGGCCTGCAGGTGGCGCCACAGGAAAGGCCATGTCAATCCAGAACGGTTTATGCTTTGTAGCCTGACTTCTCAGAGCTACACTTGCTAGTGTGACCATAAAACACTGAGTGAAATTAAATTCAGAGGCAACAGAAGCAAAAGAAAATATGTGACCATTACACATATCTTCAAAGAGGGTCCCTAATATGACGCCAGTTCTTTTTGCACTTGGTGTCTTCTAAGAGCACCTGTCTCCAGCACAGATGGATCATGGGTTTTGCATTTCCCTTTTTTCAGTCTGTATACTTGTGTACATCTACTGTACACAGTTGGGTAAACTGATATTGAAACAACCCTTGTAAACCCCTGCCTTGAGGGAAAAAGAAGAAAACAACAACTGCCACGCAGGAACCAAAAGATCAGGTAGCTGCGCGGCTATTCACAGGCCAACTTGCTGTCGAAGCTCGACAGGCCGATGGCGAAGGCTTGGAGAGCGCACATGGGATAGTTGTAGTCCAGGGTGAAGATGTCTTCAGCCACTCGGCCGAACTGCATGACGATGTAGTCGGCTAGAATTACAGGAAACAGCGTCAGCCGACTGGATATTGAGTCTTAGGCTACGTTCAGACTGCAGGACTTAATGCTCAATTCAGATTTTTTTTGTGAAATCCGATTTTTTTGCAAGTTTGTTCACATTTCCAATTAAATGCGACTTGTATGTGATCTGCTGTGTGAACTTTATACAACCCAAAAGTGTCCCGCATGCTCAGAAAAGGACACAACGACATCACACACAGCGTGCGTGCTCAGTGTAAAGTAAACGTGGATGGTAAAGTAGGGCTGGACCCGAATAGCCGACTATTCGTTCGCTGTGCTGGAATCGGGATATCAAAGTTGATCTCCAAATACCCCACAGTCGCAGAAACAGAGCCGTCACCACTAACCCAAACACAGAAACTGGTTTTAGTAGCCAAGTGCCAAATGTTGCCCGTACGTCACGCCCACTCTAGCCCGTCGGAGCCTGAACGCACCATGCGCACTCCCCCTCAGTCGGAAAAGTACTCACTCGCCACCACCAAGGAATATTCGGGATATTCGTCATTAATAGGGACCAAATGCCCAGAGATCAGAAATTGCTATTTGGACCAGCCCTATGCTAACGGTGGAGCGTATCTGACCGTTTACACCCATACTCAGCCATTTCTTTGGAAATGTTTTCAATATATGTGCGTGTTTTGTTTTTGTTTGTTTTATGTTTTTAAATTTGGAAAGCACTTTGAGCTACATCTTGGTATGAAAAGTGCTCTATAAATAAAGATTATTATTATTATTATTATTATTATTATTAATAAAAACCTCCCGGTAACGATAAGACCCCTCGAGTTTGGCCTGAATAGGGCTGCCCCCTACCCCCAAATACTAATTAACTCAGAAACCTCACGTTCCCTCCTTTGACTGGACTCCACATTATCGTCCGCAATGATTGTTGTTAATATTCCCGCTCTCGCCTACTTGAACGCAGAATAGTGACGTTTGTCGTGTACCAATGACGTGTAGGTCGGATAAATGCAACCTGGCCGTTCAGCCAGACGTCGTTGACAAAAGATCAGATACTTATCAGGTTTAGGACCACACATCCAAGTGGTCTGGGTCGCATTTAAAAAATAATCGGATCTGTGTTGTTTAGATTGACTGCATAGGGGCAAAAAAATCTGATTTGGGTCACTTTAGCCTGCTGTCTAAATGCAGCCTTAGTCTGAGTATACTGACATACTGCGCTCCCTTTTAATAGGATAATATCAAACTAATCAATAACCACGATGACTGAAGGAAAACAACATTTATATGTCTTTGTTCTTGCACACACAGAAAACGAGATACTTACGGTCATTGTCGTGAACTATTTGAAAGTTTTTGACTGAAGCTTGAGTTACGCGTCCGTGGAAATTCAGCACATAAGACTGGGTGTCATCGTTCCACACGGGAGCCTTGTTGTGCAGCTCGATCAGGTTTTCCAGTGAATGATTCTGCCACCTGCTCAGGAGGCTCTCCTGCTCCTGTAACAAAAACGTTAGCATGTCCTCTTTAGCTGCTGTTCTTATTTAGAGTGAATCATATACACATCATGCTCACTAAGCTTTGGACTTTCATATTCCCACAACGTTTGTGAAATGTGGGTTCGGCTCGAGGTAAATAACAGAGCAACAAGGTGAAAAAAGAATCTTTCATCACATAAACATTTGGAAGAACAGCTGCTTTAACGATTCAGGGATGGTTCCATTAATGACAAACTCACATTTTGAGGCCTCACAGGGACTCTCTCATAGTTCATGTTCATGCCGGGGATGATTACGGTCATTTTGCGTGGTCCTTTGAATCCCAGCACGTTGGTTTCCTGCCAAAAGGTGCAGAGTGTGTGTCAATTTCACATCATATAATGAACAAACAGGGGACACGCTAAACACGTCGCTAGCTTTAGTCGTTCTCTCACATAGCAGATGGCGGCCAGCTCCTGTCGAGTGTTGCTTTCCTCCAGCAAGGCCCCGGGGTTTTTGCAGGGATTGGTGCCGTTGTCGTACACTGTGAATTTGGTGCCCATGAGGTTGGACCTGGTAGAGAACACGCACTGGTGATGAAACGTTTACACCGTTTCACATTGTTTAATTGCTGGCAGCATTGTTTGATACGACTGACTCATGTGGAGCGGTAGAAGTCAAGGCTTTCTGTTCTTAAAAGGAACTATTTAACACCTTGTGAGCAGTTTTAGGCAGTAAAAGCAAAACTAAGAGTTCCTGTTAAATGTCTGAAAGCTGAATTTAACCACAATTTTCTCGTCGTGCCGACAAATGCAGTAACTTTTCTGAAGTAAACAGTGAGTTGTTTGGTCTGAAAATAGTGAAAAATGTCAATCAGGGATTCACAAACTAACGTCATCAAACGTCCAGGTTTGTCCACAACTGAAAGATATTCAGTTTACTATATAAACCAGACTTGAACATTTAAACCAGACTTGAACCAGACCTTGACACTTTTAACCAGACTTGAACTAGACTTTGACACTTTAAACCAGACCTGAAAGCTTCAAGCCATATCTGGACTCATCACACCAGAACTAAACCATATCTGGACAGTTAAAGCTGGGCTTGAACCAGACCCAGACTCTTTAAACCAGACATAAACAACCTTCTGTGAGCCTGATCTGAACTCCTAAAGCTTCCCTTTATCTTGCAAACCAATAAAAGATTCAAATTTAAGAGGCTGGAATCAGAGAAATTTGGACTTTTTATCTCTAATAAATTACTCAAATCAGTTCGACTGTCGAAATAGTTGGAGATAATTTAATAGCTGACAACTTATTGATGCAGCTTTGGTGTCATTTGGTTCAATCAACACAAACTGCAGTCACAACAGCACAGAAAACCGAAACGTTGACACCCACTGAGCGGACGAGATTTTCAAGAGGATTCAGACAGATGTCAGGAGGACGTTTCTGATGTAACTTTAGGTATGCCAATAACAAAAGACAACATAACTGTGCAGCCCTAAATGGACATGGGGAGAGCTAAGAAGGAGAGTGATGTTACCTCAGTTTACCGATGAAGCTCTCTCCCTCTCGTGACAGATCGGTGGCATCCACTGAAATAAGGTAGTTGGATGTTTTACTCTTCTTTCTCTTTCTTCCTGCCAGCAAAAACACCTACAAAGACAGATTGGTGCATTAAATGATGAAAAAGTTAACTTAAACTGTCAGTTTTTGTATGTCTTAGAAATACGCTCTACAGTTCTTGAAAATAATAATTCCTCTCCATGAGTTTAAGGCTCACCCTCTTGCCGTCCTCTCTCTCCATGTGCATGAAGTAGGTGGGGTAGAGGCCGCGGTCCATACCCTTCTTGTCCCGGGTGATTCGACATTTAACTGTGACGCCTCGTGGTGCGGGGCGCAGGACGAACTCCTCCAGATTAGCCACATCTGCTAGTAAGCAGTCTGCTGTGGGGGATCCGGGCGTTCCCACCTCCTGGGTAGAATCAAACAGAACATAAACGTTTGTTAGACAACAGCATTGGGATCATCTAGTCTATATCAGAGGCTACCACATTGAGTGAATTTACTGAGCTACTCACTGGAATGTCCTTTCCACTCGCGGCTGAGGCGGGCCTGTTGGCGTCCGTGTGAGGGGACAGCGAGCGCGTCCGTTCTTCGTCCACGTCTTCCTCGTGGTCACTGGCTTCATCGAAGTTCATGCTTCCACACAGGCCTGAGAGACACGAGGCAAAGCTGTAACAGAGCTTCAACGACACATGTTTTTGCTGCTGGGAAGCTCATTCATGTAAGACAAAGCAAAATGAACCCCCGAGGCTCGATATAAGCTTTGTTTTACAAAACAATCCAAAGTCGTGTTACTTCTTCCCAGAGGGTTCTTTAGTTTTGGTTCAGAACTGCCCCTGAGGTGGATTCAACTATTCTTCTTGGTTCGTCTACAGCCTTTGATACGTGACAACAAATTTCCTAAGAAGTGATGCAATACTTACGAAATCGTTGAAGCAGAAGAAGGGGAGGGATTTGAGGCGATTCAGTGTTTTCTATCAAAGATGTGATGATGTTTCAGCTTTGTTTAGTACTCACTCTACCAAAGTTCACATTTGGCTCAGCTGCAGCCCTAGAAACAGTACCACAGCCAGCGCGCCTTTTTCTAAGTCAGTTTCTGCTGTAAGGGTGATATTAATGTCAAGAGATGAGGCCGATGTCTCTTCATGCCAGGCGACTGAGTACTTGTGCAGCGACAGCTCCATGCAATCATGCAGATGTAAAATGAGTCGAGCGGACTGCAGCCAGTCTGGACTGCTTGAGACATCTGCCTCTTCATTGATAATTGGATTTATCAGCCAGGACGCAGCACTTGGCGGCAGCTATAGCCCATTTTAATTTCCTGTCAGAGGGCAACAGTGGCCCACTGGTATGGAAACATCTCAGGAAGCGGGGGAAATTGTGTTTTTCACAACTTTGCAGCGCTTTAATACGTGTGAAAATTTGCACTGTCAGAGCATTTTAAAATTTAACTCACAAATTAAATGCTTGACCAGAAATGACATTATAACGTGGTTGTGATAAAATTACAGAGTATTATCGTGTTTACTGTAATCCACCGTTCAGCTTTGACGTGAATAAATGATGAGTTAGTTTTGGCCCAACACTGTAAAACCCACATCTTTACACAAATACAGCCTTTTCTGCTTTGCAGACAAAAGAACTTTCTGTCCTCAGAAATCTCTGCCTCCTTCTCCTGCTGTTAAACACCTGGACTAACACATCCAGAGCAGGTTAGAGAGAGGAGGGAGATGGGAAAGAACGGGCCTACTCGGTGTTGAATCAGACGAATAATGTGACAGACACAGCCAGACAATCTTTACATCAAGGTGTTTACAAGAATTGAATCGTGGATACACAGCTATTCCTGAGAGAAAGTAGGAACCATCATGAAATACAGATTGCAAATGTGAGCTACGCTCTAACAGAGACTCCAGGGCTCCAATTAAAACAGCACACAAAGTTGTGTGTGAGCCAGTGGCTTATGAAATCAACCATCTGGAAATGTCAGAGGACTAAAAAACAACACCCAACAAAGCACAACCAAAAGATTCGTGTAATTATTAGACAAGAATACAACATTTCACAAAAAGCCAAAAATGCAAATTTGATGTGGATTTTTTATAACTGAGCTGATCAAATATGAATGTACCTTAAAATATCTATTTCTTCTCTTCCCTGGGGCACTGGGGTTAATATGTGAGGACGCGGAGCTAAAAATACCTGCTGGAACTCCTGAGGACATATTCCTATGCTAAAATGGGCCGACATTAACAACGAGGCCTTGCATTATTAAGAAGGATAAAGACATTTCTAATCATACTGAAGCCTCGAAAAAACGATGACAACTAGGGCGGCCTTTGAGTGTTTGAACCTGATTCAACTGAAATCCACTAAAACAATGAATCCTCAGCGTGTGAGCAACGCACTGACAGCATTACTGACACGTGCAGAATTTCTTAGATGAAATGAAAAGTCTGATTTAGGATGGAGAGACTTGTTTTGCAGTTGCAGCTGGATTCGGAAAGTGCACTCTGGACTAAGATTTTAATACATCTTCCATAACTTTTTATTAATCCCTGCGAGCTGGCTGGTGAGAGTGGGTGGCAGTAGGTATAATGATGCTATAGAAGAGCTCTGCAACAGGGGGAGGGTTGTGGTGATTGACTGTCTGTTTTATGAGTGTATATAGATATATAAAAAATGGAAATATGGAGCTATGTTAAGTATTGCTGTTTCCAAGTAAAAAATGAATGTGTAAAAAAGAAGAAGAGCTCTGCAGTGTGAACAAGGTCCTAGCCTATTATTACATGACACATTTCTCTCTGCGTCACCATTAATCACACAAAATGATGACAAAATAAAAGTCTAACTTGACCTGGGGTGAAGAAAGAACTGTCAATTACAAAAAGGAGACTCAATACACTCACAGGGATGGCAGCTTATCTGAAAGACTCTGATCCTTATTTGAAAAGCTTTCATTTCACTTATCTTTCTCTCCTGTACTTTTCCTTCCTACTTTTTGTGTCGGATGACTTGTTGCCAGTAAAGTCTCCGGCAGCAGCAGGGGGCTCAACGAAGTCATTATCAAGCTTGTTGTATTTAGCTGCAGGTTGCACAAGAAGTGAGAATCTTCCTATAACAGTGGATAAAATTCAGGATGTTTCATAAAACTAGTGCTTCACTAAACCTTTCATGAAATAAACTGAATGTATATTTAAAACCAAAACTCACATTTGTTTCATATCATACACTAAAACGTGTCAGTTCGGTGGTAAGCTCTGCTGGAACTCACCTTGTTTCTGCAGCAGTTCGTGGATGTCTGTCTTGGGCTCCAGCAGCGTCTCAGTGTCTCCGTCTCTCTCCGGCTCCTCAGCAGCGGGACTCTGGGGCTGAGATTGAGGTTTGAACTGAGACTTGGGGGACTGGGACTGGCTCACTGGCAGAATTTGGATTTTGGTTCCCAGATCGGAGGCTTCTGAACCCAGGAAAGCTGCTGGGCCATCGATACCTGCAACAGGAGAAAGCAGTCAGTTGATACCTTAGTTGGTAATTCTTTCCTGATGTGCTAATTACACGGAGCTGTTTGTCTGTGGTGCTAAACCCGAGTCATCGTGTTTGCTGAAAAGCTATTTAAATTAGCTAAACACCAGAGTGTAGCTGAGCAAATTACTTCAGCAGACTCTTGTCTGTACCTGATACATGATTGCTGTCAGACATTTGTAAACTGCACCACATGCACCACACAGTTTACTTTCTTCAGCACTCATAGATGTGTGCTGAGAGATTTTCTTACTCAGATTATTGTTTAATTAGTATATTAGCTGCACCTGCACAGAGACAGTTCATTTCGGTTGTGGTGTATTTACATTGCGATTAGTTCTCATGATAAATGGAAAGATATATTCTACCAAAATCCCACCTGGCTTGAGATCTGGGATAGCATGATGGTAAAAGTAGGATTTTGTTTAACCCTCCAAACCCACCAGGGAATTGAAAGGCACGTTCTTGTTTTTTTGTTTTTTAAATCTCCAAAATTACATTTATCAGAGTAAGAAACTGTTAAAAAAAAAGAAAGAAAGAAAGAAAGAACTGTTAGATTTTCAACTTTCCTACAGTTCTTGAAGTACTTTTCTGTAAGGTGCCATTCCATTTGGAAACTTAGACGAAATTATTAATCAAGGTCACTTTATTCTAAATGTCTCATTCAAAAAAAAAAGAAGAAGAAATCTAAAAGAACTAACCTCTTGCTCTACCCAGATTGTACAAAAACATATAAAAAATAAAATGATGTGCTCCACAGGCAACTATAAAGCTATGACTGACTCAGCTGTGACCACCATCTTTAACATTTCAGCTAAACTGGGCTGAACTGCAGGCTGTGTTTACATATGAGAGAAGTATGAGACAAGTATGGAAACAAATAAAATACATCTTAGTTTGTACAGTCACCATGTCTTTTCCTGTATTGAAAACAACTTTAATCATTTGGGGGAAAAATGCTGGATATGTTGATTCCAGTTTGGTTTTATGTTTTTTCCAACTTTTGTAAAACATGGAATTCTAAGAAATCCTAGTTACAATTTTTTTTCTTATTCTATGATGTATGGCGTTATACTTGACATGTTTGTGTTCACTCTACTTATACACATGATGGTGCAGCTCATGGTGAATAAAAATGAGACAAAAGCAAATGTAATTGACAATTTGAGAAAACACACAAGTGACTTCTTATAAACTAAAACAGCTTTCTAGTGCTAAATACTGCTATTGAAATGTAAATATAATATTCTTTTGTTCATCTCATCTACTTCTATGTGATGCCCTAAAAATATACTGCAAAGGAGAACACAGTCCAATGTACAAGACTCTTTGTGTTTATAATATATCTTATGCATACTATTATGTAGCTGTGTCACACTGTGTAGCCACCTTGTAGCAACAGAGCAGCAAACGATGGCATGTTGTTGTTTGCTCTCATGAATAACATTGTAGAGAGATAGCTGTGCTAGTTTTCATACATGATTCTGCAGCTTCTCCAAAACGTGTTTTTTTCCTAATTCTCACCTCATCGAAGGACAGAACACTTTTTTCTGACAGGACCGGTGTTTTCCTTACCATCCATGATGACATCGTTGGTGACGCTGAGGTGAGACTCCACCAGCGGGGCCTGCTCCTCACCCCGCCGTGTCCTGGAGCGTCGGGGCCGAGCCTCTGTGTTGGGTTGGACCATGAGGGGTTCCTGACGCTTCCTCCGTTGCTTTTGTTCAAGCAGTGCCCTCTGTGGACCAAACAGGAAAACGGAAATGGCACGAAACTTCAATCAAAGCAGAAGTATGCATGACTTTGACACATCACTTTGATGCATACATAACAGCCATCAAATGTTGTTGACTGAGGAGCTGGGGGTAATTACATCAGTACGGATGAAGAGCTACAACTTGTGTCTCTCAGACAAAACACCAAGTGATGTATAAAATACAATAACAGACAAAATCCGAATGAATAAGAGTTTATCAAACTGTCCAAACGACTAACAGCCTAGTTCATTTATGATTTTCTAAATGCTGAAATGTCTGTCCATGTGTGACTATAACTGCTGCTTTACAAACAGTAAAATAAAAAAAAATCCCGACAGCAAAGACGGAGCTCAGGACTCAATATGAGGACGTAACAAATGTAACTGCTGCAGACTTAACGGGTGTGACTCTGTGTGACAGCTCATCTGTCTGAGATGAAGAAAACTGCACAGTGTGTGGGATAATATAGAACTACTTTATTATTAATAACCATTATGAAGTTAGTTAATTATGCAGATTTAACTCCCTCTTGTGCTGGAAATGCTCATAAGGATCCTGCTGCCACCTGATGCTGCAGGTATTTAATAAACTCAGAGGATAAACTCCTTTAAGCAACTTAAGTCCTTTTACTGTCGTGTGGGAAGAAGAAAAAAACATTATTAGTATCATTATTCTAAGCGTTTCGTGTCCGTTTTTATTGCAGGAAAGTTGGATTTTTGGTAGCCTAATAGATGTGAATTGTAGGGCAAAGTGAGTGAGAAAGGTGTGTTGCGATTCTGGCACACAAACTGTGTCCTAAAGGGCTTTCTGTGATGGTTTTGGGTGAATATTGGTGCTAAAATGTGGGAAAACAACCTTCCACTGATCACTTCACACAACTCTATTGCTTGTGCTTGTCTATCTGTTAACATGACCGGGTGCAGTTCTGACTTGTGCCATGTTGAAAGTGGTAGAGAAATGTTACCAGGTGTGACCTATGACTGCCGGTGCAACTTTTAAAGAAAAGTGATCAGGATGCACATTCAGTCGCCGTCAGTTTACCAATATGGAGAAGTGCATGTCTGAAAGAGGTTTATTCTACTGAGCAACAGTGGCACCTCCAAAGACACACCCCTGGCATGGCTGAACACCAATCTAAGCTGGACTAGTCAACGAGCCGCACAACAATGGATGCTGCCCTTCAAAGAGAACAACATCCTGTCTAGACCTGAAAGGCGGCACGATAAATTTAGCACGGCTACATGGCAGAATAAAGGACTGAAAAGATGAATATCTCGCATTATAGAAATGGAAAGGGCAAGAAACAACCCATTCAAAGTACACAAAAGTAGGGAATTGGTATATTTAAATAACATGTACAGTTATAAGTAACAGCGCTGTGTGTACAATGCAAATGAACAATATGGATGACGTGAATGCCGGCTGATGCACCCTGAAGTGTAATAACCTTGACAGTGAAGCCAAGAAAGAATAAAGCCGGAATAAAAACCCAACAATCACGCTGAGGCCCAAATACCTCTGAGTGCACTGAACAGCTGAAAGAGTGTTATTTAATGTTATGCTGCATTTTATACTGAAGGAAGGTGCACGTATTCTATCACAAGTGTCTGATTAAGTTATGAGCCCTTAAACAGACATTAAAATGTGATTTTTTTTTTTTTTTGTTAGCCTGATGACGACACAGAACTTGCTTTAAGAAGTGTAGTTTAGCAGATAGTGATTTGTGCTGCAGCTTTAGTGAGGGCAGAAAATTCACCATGGTCATATTGTATCCTCTCCACCCCCCCTCCAAAATAAAACCCCCAGTGTGGTCGGAGCAGCCGATGGATTATGCAAGCGCATTAATTAGTGTGCCAAATGCACAACAACAAGTCCTGTTTAGTGATGCTGTTTAGTGAGCCGGAAGAGACCAGGAAGCCTTGTCACATATTTTGCCTGACCGAAAAGCTTTCATAACTCATCAGGCATTGTGCTAAAAAGATTGAAGGAAAGCTGCCTCACTGTTTCCCCCCTCTGTGCAACTACAGCAACATCTGCTATCACTGTCATGTGGAGGGGGGAAAAAAGTGGATTAATGTGAGTTTTTTTTACATAATCAGTACTAGAAAAACAATTAGCATGAGAAAAAGGGGACCCTACAATGAACACTTTAAATTTTAAAGAAATAGAAGTTTTACTAAATCCATCAGTTGTTTAATCCTCAGCCGTATGTCTACAAGCTTCATTAACCAGACCTGTGTTTGTTAGCATTTCAAAAGAGGACCAGGATTGCATCCTCGCTTTATGGCTATAAATAAAAGCGACAAATGAATAAAACATAAAGCAGGATTATCATAATGAGCATCATTACAGTTAGTGTAATGAATGGAGGTGGAAGTGATGGCGGATTTCAAGTTGCACAACAATGCCTTTTAAAAAAATACACTGACTAGTCATTGAATTAAAACTAAATCAGGTTTATCTTCAGAGTGAAAATGTAATCAGGACTAAAAGTTACATGGTGCTGGCTGCTTCGGGTAAGTAGGAGCAGCTTGCTTTGTCTTCCAGGGAGCTATTTTAAGACGGTCCATTGTAATATTCAGTTCTTTTGTAACGGCTGAGCGCTTGGCATTTTTAGATCAGGATGTGACTTCATTGTGGCTTTCCTGTGGTAGCAAAAACACATGGGAAAAAAAGTGTGGCGAAGTATATGGATTACAGCAGAATTTGATAATATGGTGAGTAAAGAATCTGATATTAACATGAAGAAAAGAAAAGAGGTCATGCACCAGCTACACAGAGACAAGAGGTTAAAGTGTCCGGGAGAGATTACGAGGTGTCACGATTTTGTCAGAATTTTTTTCAGAATCAATGACAGAACTGATTGAATAAGTCTAGATAAATAACACCTGTACCCCTCTAACAAGATGTTCCCCACAAACAGATACAATATACGAGAAAAAGAAGAATGAGAAGTTACAAACCCGTTCCATTGACATCATGAAAAAGTGCCAAAGTTAACAAGTTTCTCTACAGAAAAACCATCACAGATTCCTTTTCTCTTGAGGTCAGACGAAGGTGCGTTCTCCTCCAAAGAGCAGCGCTCCTGCTGGGCATGGCTCCGTCTCCCTGTCCCTCATTCCTCTCGTGGAGCTCAGTTTGAGAAACTAACAGCCTCCTCTGCACTGTGGTCCTCTGACAGAAAAGATCTATCTCTCAGCCAAATACCAAGCACCAGAGTGTGTGTTTGTGTGTGTGAGTTGTGTGTGTGTGTGTGTGTGTACACGCAGTCACCGTTGCTAACTGAATCAGCAGTCATTAGCACTCGAGCAGGAGGGAAAGATAGGGGGAGAGAAAGGGAGGGAGAGAGGTGCGCTCAGAGTGAGATACGGTCGCGGAGCTGCGACTACTTTTGTCTGCAAGGCTTTCGTCTGATTGTTTTAAAAGGGTTTTGGGGAAACACTAAATTGAATTAAAGCACAGTAGTAAATTGAATTAACTTTTATTGGTTTGTGTATTTTTTTTAATTTCCTGTATCTCGACATAAGTGCACGTCTGTTTGTCCTGATGACTTATGTAAGAACAGGAGACCCTCTGGAGAGGCTGTTTGGACTCAGCTGAAAGTGCGCAGCGTAAGTCGGCTACACTGGGACCATGGGACACAGTCACCTCACGCTAAATCCTCCTCTCCCTTTGAACTCAACACCCTGTTTTCTCCCTGCCTAATGTGCGAGATAGAGGAGCACAGCTTCCAGCTTAAATCAAAGCCCTACACCGCGGCTCCACAGAAAGGTTCAGGATAAACCGTCTTACTGAGACTCAGGAGGAAGGGGTGAAACCAGGGGGACAAATGTGTGGAAGGGCTATGTCAGTGTACCGGGTGGATAAAAGGGAACAATGCAGTTTCACGAGTAAGTAAGCATTAAATATTCCAAAGAAACAGGCAAGTGAAAAAAGGAGATTTTACTAAATTAATCACTAAAATGCACATTGCCAGGAGCTCTTGGTGATAACTGAGCAGAACACAACAGGCCCTTTTTAATTTACCTGCAAAATCTTAGCAGCTGCTTGCAACCACAGCAGCGGTTAGCCCTCAACCTAAAGCATCATCTATGTGTGAGTTAGAGGGCTTAATCAGACTAATGCTTCGAACAGAGCAGCTAAGCCAGATGGTAGTTGAAAGTGCAATGACAAAATAGCAGAAACACCAGAAAAAACAAAGTGCGATCTGTCAAAAAAGCACGCTGTTCATTCGTGAATTAAGCTGCGTTTCCAACCTGTTTTTCCAGCTTCTGTTGCATGAGGCTGCCGCTGTCATCTTCAATGCCACTGCAGGGGGGAAAAGAAGAAACGATATAAAGCAAGATTTCATGCACACGTTTGTTAAAACACTTCATTTGAGTTTCCTAATCGAACCAGTAGAGGGCATCATCGCAGTTGCATTAAAAGGAGGCAATAAAGACCTTCTATGTTGTAAAGTTTTGAATGAGATAAAAAATAATAGCAACGTTAACACTCTGAACTGCAAGCAACTTCTGTTTATTGGGGGTTTTTTTTTGCTCCTTTACATTTTTACTCACTGTGGTTAATATTTCAAAGCCCTGCACCTCAATAGAAACAGCACAACCATAGCGAGGTAATTCTTCCGTGCAGTATGACACAGTTATAACACCATAAATCATAAAAGGAAGAACAAAATGTACATTTGTTTCATTACTTATTTAACATTTAAGTAATTTGTAATCAGTATTTATGCCCTCAGGGGTTGCAAATCTTGGAAAGATAGATTTTACCGCTTGGACTTTTAATTTGTGTCAATAAGTCCGTCTTATGTGCTCTCTATAAACTCAACTTGCAGTCTAGCTCAGTTCAGTTCTGGAAACTCATCACAGTTGATTGAAGCTGAGTCAGTGATGGACACACGGTTACGTCAAGAGGCACAGAATCTTTTGTTTTTAACAGAATATGATTAGAACAAATGATTTATTCTCAGTGAATTTTTAAATATGACATGGAGAGCAACATGGTTTTAATAAAACTGTTATAGGCTGAGATTGGGTTTGGTTTTCAGAGGAGTAGTTCGAGGTCTTAAGGAAAGTTGAAAATCTAACAATTCTCTCTGTTTATACAGTTTCGAATGGCGGGGCACATGGATGCAGTGGCCCCTTCAGGAGACAGCGAGAGTGAACGTTTAGTGTCTTGCCTACCCCAGACGTGCATTCTGCAAAAACTTAAATGATCCTGAAGAAATGCTCTCTCATCTTGCCTGTAGTACTGTGTCTGTACAGCAAAATGACAATAAACCTGATCTGATTTGATTTGATTTCTTGCTACGATGATAATAATAGCGTGATAAGACAACATGCCTTTCAAACCTGCCTTTGGGGTTCAGAAGGTTAATAGAGTTTAGCCATGAATGATGAAGAGCTCCAAGGCAAGTAATGATAAATCCACAGGCCTCTACAAATCTACAAACAGAAAGCAAGTTTCTAAAGACGAAGAAAGGAAACAAGAGAAAGAAACGGGACAATGCTCTAGCTGAGAGAAGACCTTGCAGACTGGGACCTCTGGGCATTTACCTTGGACACCTATCTGAAGGGACTGGGCCCATGTTGCTTAGCTACAGTGAGGAGAGAGAAGGGCAGCAGCAGGAGTCTTCACTGTCGAGTCTGAGTCAGAGACCTACAGTAGCTCTGCTACTATCTCTGTTTCAAATGCTCACACGAGTCAGTCGCTCACGCTGACATGTGGGTCATTTCTTTTATCTCTTCCCGTTGAGTAAATCTTCAAACATCACGTGTTCTGCCAGGCTGAAATGAGCCTTTCATAGATAAGGATTAAAGGTGTAGGATGAGAAGTCTTCAAATCACGCTGCCCATCTCTCCATTAGGTAAGCTCATCAGATATCTGACTCGCTCATCCTCAGTCTCTATTTCCATCTCCTTCAGTTCAGTCTCAAATTCCTTGCAGAGCTGTAAATCTAATCAGTCTTTATTTACATGGCACCTTTCATGCAGAACTGAAAAACAAGGCGCTTCACGATACAATCAAAGTACAACTGCACAATGAGGATAGACGAGAAAATGAAGACAGTAGATGATGACACACTTGAAGCCCAACCCGGGCTGACATTGTGGTTCATCTCTGTAGGACAGATGCTGAATGACAAAAGCTGACGAGCATTGGGAACTCATTTAAATTAAAAAAAAGCCACACAGATGCTTTCATGAGGCTTGTAACAGTGTTACAGTGAACATCATCATCTGCAGCCCAACAGCCAGCAAGGGCTTGAGTCATGATCTGGCTAAACTACGGCAAGATTAGTCATCTTGCACTACTGTGTCATATCATCGCTGCTAATGAATCCTTTTCTAAGTGACCGTCACTGTTGACACTGGCAAGCAGATGGGTCCCCTGGGAGGTTATCGTGGCACCTGAGAACAGGTGCTGGTGACAGAAAGGAGTGCTGGAGAGTGGAGGGTGATGGTAGTTTTTAATTACACATACAAGACTGTTGTTTAAAGTGGCGAGGAAAGAGGTGAAATTCTGCCGGTGAACTGAACAGTAAGACACAAGAAGTCATAAGTGAGTTTAATCAAAGGACTGCCAAATTCACTTGATGCCCAAAGATTACAAAAAGACACAGATAACTCTAACTGGAATGTGTAATAATGCTACAAGGCACTGTGTAGTTACTGGCTAGAGAACACACCGTCTAAATTGCATTAAAACATCAGAGTTTCCCTGATCCTTTCAGCCTCAGCAATAATAAATTACACCTCTGGGGTAGTCTTTGCCAGAATACTGTCATTTGAATGTGCCTTGGGACATTTTTATTGCTGTTGCACAACAGTAGAGCATGTTGGAAGCTGGAAGCAGGAGATGAAGCACATTGTTTGCAACCCAGAGAGCAATTATAGCTGATAACAAAGTTTTAGCTTTACATTAAATGTAAAATGCCCTTCAGAAATTCAACTGAAGTGGAAGCCATGGTTATTCCCACTGCAACAACCAGCGTTATATCACAGTCAGAGTTTGTGCTCTTCATCATACTCATCATAGCAAAATCACACTGTGTGGGAGGTAAAGTAATCGAGGTAAATGGTAAATGGAGGTGTAATTTTTCAAGCAAAAAAATATATAAAATATGACTCCAGCTGCTCCAGTGTGAGGATTTTTTTTTTCTGCCTTTTTATATCATTCAAAACTGTATTTCTTTCTGTTTCAGAGCAAAGAAGACATTTGATGATCTTACGTTGGATTTTGGGAAATTAAACCATGCTGTTTTTGCTTTTTTCTGACTTTTACGTGGGCGGCTGTGGCTCAGGTGGTAGAGCGGGTCGGTCAATGATCGGACGGTCGGCGGTTCGATTCCGTCCTGTAACCTGTGTCATGGTCGTTGTGTCCTTGGACAAGACACTTCACCCACCTTGCCTGGTGTGAATGCATATGTATGGACTGTTTGAGGTGGTGGTCGGAGGGGCAGAATGGCAGCCACACCTCTGTCAGTCTGCCCCAGGGCAGCTGTGGCTACAATCAAAGCTTACCACCACCAGAATGAATGTGTGTGAATGAATAATTGACAGTTGATTGTACGTGCTTTGAGTTACTCCTTGAGAAAGAAAAGCGCAATATAAATCTAATCAATTATTTTTTTTTTTTTTATTGACCTTAACTATTCATCCAGCATACTAATCAACTTTTGCCCTAAATATCATAAAGCAACTTTGCTGTTAGACCTCCCGGGGAAAAACAGTGAAGGGTTTGTGAGCTCTCCAAGTAGAACCGATGAAATCACCAAATTTTACATACACATCAAAGCTGCTGGTTTAAATTATCTTAAATTAAAACAGCTCATTTCACCCCCTCTGTCTTTCCATAGTCTTCAAGTATAAATCAACTGACAGATGTGAAAGAAGGAATGAGTTTGGGGTGTGTTTTGTTGTATTCTGTACCTTGCTGTCGAGTTAGAGGAGAAGCTGGCAGAGCTGGAGGGTCTTCGGGGAAAACGGCGCAGCCAGAAGCACAGGACATGCAGAAAGAAAACAGTGAAACAAGTTGAGCAATGAGATAACGTTAACAAGAACTCTGTGGGGAAATTAATTATTTTCCATCTTACTTGTTGCTTCAAAAGTAGATCGTCTGGATAGAAGTCATACTTTAAATAGACTGTAACATTTGATCCAGTCAAACAAGCTGATAACATACTTAGCTACAGAGCAGGTGCAACGTAAACTATAAGATAAGTTCCTTCAAAGTGTTATTGCAAATACTT